CAGTTGCTCGATTGTTTACTTGTATGCTCCTGTTTCTGTCGAAGTGAAAAACTGATAATTATCTTGGTTTCCCTACTGTACTCGTGTAGAGGCTCCTAGTTTTAACATCCCCCAGAGGAGAGTTCCTCTGAAGAAGAAATCGGGGGCTGCTGCCGGATCGACCAGCGATAAAGTCAATGGCTCGACCAGCTCCGGCGGATCTCGGCCAGATTCGCAGCAACAATCGCCCCCACGGCAAACTCCACCGCCTCCTCCTCGATCGCCCCTGCGACAAACTCCTCCTCCTCCGCCACCGCCCAAGGGAACACAACAACCACAACAACAAAAGCAGCTACAACAACAAAAACAGCAACAAAGCAACCACACCAGTCACAGCAGCCCTTGCCGCCCAAACACCAGCAGCAACAGCACTCATCTGCCTCTCAATCGACTACAAAATCCTCCAACTCCTCAAAAATCGTCGATCACCAACCTAAGACCGGTGATCGTCAAAGAACCGTCGACCGCCATTAGAAAGCCGACGGCTGCCATGAGAAGACAGGTCCATGAAACTCCCCGCCCAAAACCAACCTTCAAGGCAGGACTGTCGATAAAGCCTCCGAGCCTAACACATCCTCCAAAACCAAAACCCAAAAAAAACTGCCCCTCACCCACCAATCTTCCAAAACCACTCTTGTCGTATCGACCAAAGCTCTGGTCGAATCCGACAATCGTGATGACGGGGGGCCCAAGTCAGCCTTGGGCAAACGCCCTCGAACTGAGCAGAGCGAGGTCATTGTCAAGCGGGGGCGCGCTGGCTATCTTTCTCCTGATCCGTTAGCCCCAAAACCGACCTCTCTCTTGTCGGCCTCCGCTAATGAGGTGGCCGACCGCCTCGAGGGTGCCCTCCTCGAGGATGATCGCAAAAAAGCCAGCATCACCCTGCCCGAGGTTGGCGATAAACTCGTGCAGTGGTTTGCTCAGGTATTACTCCTCTACTCTACATTGGTTCTTCTCCTTTTTCTTTGTCGATACATACGTTGAATTGCCTTGTCTTCTTTGTTGATAGGGCTTGGTTGATTTTTTGCCTCTGGCCAAAGAAGCTCGGGACAACTCGGGCAAGTCGATCAAGGGTCTCGAGAGCACCATCGGCTATCTGCAGGATAAAAATTCAACCCTCCTGCAGCATAATGCCAAACTCCACGAGACGCAAACAGAACAAAAGACTGAGTTCGACGTCAAGATTAGATCTCTCGACGAAGAGCTCAGTAATAAAGGAAAGGCTCTTGCTGAGAGAGATGCTGCTCTCGCGACCAAGGAAGCCGCAGTGGCGGAAAAAGAGGCCGCCCTGAAAGAAAGGGAGGCTCTACTGGAGCAAGAACGGGTTGCTCGAGCTGGAGCAAAAAAGGCTCGTGCTGAGGCAGAACATGCTCGAGCAGAGGTGGAGAAGGCTCGAGCTGAAGCAGATAAGGCTCGGGCAGAACTGGAGGCCCTTGTGGCCAAAGAGAGGGCTGCCTATGCCGACGAGAAGCAACTCTATGCAAATGCCACTGCTCTTCGAGCAAGGCAGATGCTCTGGGCGACCACAACGGGGCAGCTCTTCCTCCGTGAGCATCGCGCACAAGTGGTGGCTGACTTCATGCAGTCACCGCAGTATCTGAAGGAGTTGCAAGATTTTGGGGTGGACTGATTTCAGTTTGCCCTGCAAAAGGCCGGGGAGCAGATCGCTGAGGACGATTTCGAGCAGCTCGACCCCTTGGCTATTTGGGATGCTTTGCCCAAAGTGCCCTCGAGCTTCTGCGGGGACCCTTCCCTGCCACTCGAGCATGAATGGTGGTCAGGGCAACTCGAGAGAACCTTGTCTCGATCGGACGTGCTAAAGAAAACATTCGCTTTGCCCGATGGCGATACTCCTCCGACTTCTATGTTGATCGCAACGGCTGAGTCTATCAAACGACGCCCACTTAATGAAGCCTGCGACTCGACCTCTGGAACCAGTCACCATCCCGATCCTAATGCCGGCTCGAGCAACGCTGACTCCGTCACTGCTCCTCCATCTTAGCGTTGTATTTTTCACTTTATCTTTCTTGAATTCGAACTATGTACTTTAACGGGTTTTGTAATGATCTCGAAATAGAAATGTTTTGTTTTTAACTTGTTTTGATCTTCAATAATGCTTATTGGTGATTCTGACTTGATATCTTCATTATGGCACCTTGCGACCACTTAGATAGCTTAATCTTATCATACACACGTATACACTTGCCCACCCTTGGGGGCGGTCGAGACATACGACCGTCCGACCTCGTGGCCTTGAACACGAAGGGTTTTAAATTTTTAAACGCATGTCCACCCCTGGAGGTGGTCGAAGCATGCGACCGTCCAGCCTCATGGCCTTAAGCATGACGGGTTTTAAATTTTCGAACACATGCCCACCCCTGGAGGTGGTCGAAGCATGCGACCGTCCAGCCTCATGGCCTTAAACATGACGGGTTTTAAAATATCGAACACATGCCCACCCCTGGAGGTGGTCGAAGCATGCGACCATCTAGCCTCGTGGCCTTATACATGATGGGTTTTGACTTTTCGAACACATGCCCACCCCTGGAGGTGGTCGAAGCATGCGACCGTCCAGCCTCATGGCCTTAAACATGACGGGTTTTAAATTTTTAAACACATGCCCACCCATGGAAGTGGTCGAAGCATGCGACCATCCAGCCTCGTGGCCTTATACATGATAGATTTTGAATTTTCGAACACAGGCCCATCTCTGGAGGTGGTCGAAGCATGTGACCGTCCAGCCTCATGGCCTTAATCATGACGGGTTTTCTGCACCGTTGGACTTCTCTTCTATACCCATGTTTTCGTGTTCACTTTCTGATCTTGAAGTTGCACCCGTCCTAGTGCTCATGCCTTCGTGTTTTCCCACCCGGTTATGTGGTCTCCCTTTGGTCTTCACACTTGCCCACTCCGAGGAATGTTCTAAACAGGCGGTCTTCGACCAACCTGCCCACCCCAAGGAATGTTCTAAACAAGCGACCACCCAGCCCGAGGGCCTTATTCATGGTGGGTTTTGGTCTTCACTCTTGCCCACCCCGAGGAATGTTCTAAACAGGAGGTCTTCGACCAGCCTGCCCACCCCAAGGAATGTTCTAAACAAGCGGCCTCCAAATCAGACTATACCACATACATCCTGTCATCCAAATTATGCCAACATTCCAAGCATAAGAAAATGTGCAATAAAGCGGGTAAAATCAAGAAAATCACTGCATTTCATTGACTTTTAACAAACTTTGCAATACACATCATTGTTCGAACTTTCTAGGCTTCTCAAAAATAGAAAAAGAAGAAACAAAAATTTTCAGACATAATATTTTTTCAGATTAGCTATGTTCCATGACCTGGCAAGTGATCGGCCTTCGGCATCCTTGAGTGAGTACGCTTCTCCTGCGTGCACTCGCTCGACCAGGTATGGTCCTTCCCAATTTGGCTCCAGCTTTCCCACATGCTTGAGTACATCGACACGCTTCCAAACCAGGTCACCGACCTGGAGTCTGCGAATTTTCACCTTTTTGTCATGAGCGGATCGCATCCTCTGCTTGTACGCCTCCACCCTAATTGCGGCTTTCCCACGCAGCTCCTCGATAGTATCTAAGGCTGCCATCATCAGGTCCTCGTTCTGTTCAGCATCATATGTGCTCGACCTCTGGGAAGATAACTCGATCTCGACCGGCAGCAATGCTTCCATTCCATAAGACAAACTGAACGGGGTTTCTCCTGTAGTCGACCTTGGGGTTGTGCGATACGCCCAAAGTACGGAGCTTAGCTCATCGACCCATGCTCCCGAGGCCTTCTCCAATTTTGTCTTCAGCCCATTCAGTATAATTTGATTAGTTACCTCGACCTGGCCATTAGCCTGCGGATGCGCCACAGAGGCAAAGTGTTGCTCGATTTTCATATTTTCACACCATGCTCGAATCCGCTTCCCATTGAACTGGGTGCCGTTATCAGAAATCAACACTTTGGGTACACCAAACCGGCAGAAAATGTTGTTGTATATGAATTTAATTACTTTCTCCTTTGTAATCTTCGTTAAGGGCTCAGCCTCCACCCATTTCGTGAAATAATCGACCGCCACTATTAAGAACTTCCTCTGACCGGTCCCCTGAGGCATCGGCCCCACCAGGTCGATACCCCACTGGGCGAATGGTATAGGAGCACTCATCGTCATCATGGCTTCGGCCGGTTGGTGGATAAGGGGGCTGTGCTTTTGGCATTGCAAGCACTTCTTCACCATCATCTTCGAATCTTCTCTCATCGTTGGCCAAAAATATCCTACCCTCAAAATTTTCGCAACCAAGGCTCCTGACTTACTATGGTCACTGCAACACCCTTCGTGCATCTCCTTCAACACATATCGACCCTCTTTGTTAGTAACACAGCGCAGATGTGGTCCTCCATAAGATCGCTTGTAAAGAATGCCTCCATGCTCAAAAAACCTCCCAACCAACTTTATCGCTCCTCCTCTCAGCTCCTCCAAGATCGGGGCCCTCCAATCCTCCACCTCTTCGATCTCCACCACTTCTGCTTCGATCACACTCTTTTCAAGATGCAACAGAGTGACACTTCTACTCTTGCAATCAACCAAGCTCTGAGCAATCTTCGACAATAGGTCTGCTCGACCATTCTCTCCTCGAGGAATTTGTATTAGCTCGAACGAGTCAAACTCCTCTCTCAGCTTCTTCATCTCATCCACATATTTTTGCATCCGATCCTACTTGACTTCAAACCCTTCTTGAAAATGCCCAACCACCAGTTGAGAATCGGAATGCACTTGCAGTTTTCGAGCTCCTCCTGCTTTGGCTAGACTCAAGCCCTTAATCACTGCCTCGTACTCAGCTTCATTATTGGATTTCTTGAACCCCACTTTAGCCGCAAATTCCAAGTAATCACCTTTGGGGGAGACAAGGACAATTCCCAATCCTGCCCCGCTTCGGGCCACAGTTCCATCTACAAACAACTGCCATAATCCCTCTGACTCCTCCTCGACTTTCGTGCCTTCCTGGATAAAATCAGCCAACACCTGTGCTTTTATGGCTCTCCTTGGCTTGTACGTCAAAGAATATTCACTCAGTTCAACCGCCCACTTCACCAATCGACCAGAGACTGATGGCCGGCCAAGTGTTTCTCCCAGCGGCATATTCGTTCGCACCTTCACCTTATGATTCAAGAAATAAGGTCTTAACTTTCGAGCAGTTACAGCCACAGCTAAAGCACACTTCTCCATCTCTGAATACCTTGTCTCGGCCCCCTGCATCACTCTACTCACATAATAGATAGGGAATTGCGCTATTCCTTCCTCTCGCAACAACACCGAACTCACAGCCCTCTCTCCAATAGAAATGTATAGCACCAACTCTTCGCCCTGTATGGGCTTAGCCAATAATGGAAGGTTGGCCAGCACCCCTCGCAACTCCTCAAATGCCTTCTGTGCCTCCTCTGTCCACTGGAATTTCGCACTCTTCTTCAACGTTTTAAATAATGGGCCGCTCTTCTCTGCCACCTTTGATATGAAACGACTCAGCCCCGCTATTCGACCAGCCAAGATCTGCACTTCTTTAACATTCGTCGGTGACTTCATCTCCATCACAGCTCGAACCTTCTCCGGATTGACTTGAATACCTCTCTTGGTCACCAAGTAACCCAAGAATTTTCCGGACCTCACCCCAAAAGAGCATTTAGCCGGATTCAGCTTCATCCCATACCTTCGTAATGTTAGGAACGTTTCTTTCAAATCTCGTACGTGATCCAACTCCTCCTTACTTTTCACCAACATATCATCCACGTACACCTCCATGTTTCTCCCCAGTTGCTCCTTAAAGATTTTATCGACCAACCTTTGATACGTGGCGCCCGCGTTTTTTAGGCCGAACGGCATGACCACGTAACAATAGGTCCCTCGACTCGTTACGAAACTCACCCACTTCCAGTCCTCTCTCGCCAAGGGGATTTGATGGTATCCCTGGGAGGCATCCATCAGGCTCAACAGCTCGCACCCTGCCGTTGAGTCGACCAGCTGGTCAATTCTGGGCAGTGGATATAAGTCCTTCGGGCATTCTTTGTTCAGATCGCGGAAATCAATGCACATCCTCCACTTCCCCTCCGCCTTTGACACCATCACCGTGTTCGACAGCCATTCGAGGAACTGAATCTCTTTAATGTGTCGTGCTCCCAACAGTTTCTCGACCTCTTGCTCGATGATTTTGTCCATCTCTGCCCCATGGTGCCTTCTTTTCTGCTTCACCGGCCTCACGCTGAGGTCGATGTTTAGCCGGTGCTCGATCACCTCCGCACTTATTCCCGTTAACTCCTCTGCTGTATAGGCAAAAACATCAGCGAATTCCCTGACCAACTGGATCTGCCTCGACCGAATAGGCTCTTCCAGATCCTTTCCGATCCGGAACTTTCTCCCTTCACACCCCTCGATCATTTGAATCTCCTCGACTTCTTCCCCAGGTTGGATATCCATTTTCTCCTTTCCTTTCTCCACTTTCTGTTTATCCTCCTTCGACCTCGATCCCCCTGGTCGATTAATCTCCTCCCCCTTCGACTCGGCCTGCCTCTTTGCCAATTGCTTGTTATTGCTGACTGTCGTTTGGTAGCAACTTCTCGAAGTGAGCTGATCCCCAGCAATCTCCCCTACGTTTTCGCCCACCGGATATTTGATCGTCATGTGGTACGTGGATACGACTGCCTGGAATGCATTCAAGCTCGTCCGCCCCATGATGATGTTATAGGACGACTCAGCCCCTACAACCACAAATCTCACCATGCGCACCTTCCTCAACTCTCCCGATCCCAATGCCACGGGCAAACTGACCTCTCCCATCGGCATAACTTCTCCCCCGTTAAAACTGTAGAGCGCCGTGGTCACCGGTTTCAGCTCCATATTCAGCTCCTTGTTAATCTGCACAAAACAGTCATAGAACATCACATCTACCGAACTCCTGGTATCTATGAACACCCTCTTCACATCGAAGCCTGCGACCTCCGCGGTTATCACAAAAGCATCATTGTGCGGCAGGACCACTCCCTCGGCATCCTCCGTCTTAAAACTTATCACCGGCATGCGGGCCGTAATTCCCACCTCCTCTCTCTTCCTCTTCACCGCTCGAGCATGCTTTTTCCTGGCCCTATTCGAGTCACCATCAGTTGGCCCACCGGAAATCATGTAAATAGTTCCTCTCTTCATCGGGGCCTCTCCTCCATGTCCCCCCTTATCACCATCTCTCCTTGGCTTCTTTCCTCGACCGTCTCGACCTTCTCCCTCCTCATCTCTATCGCTCCTTTCCTCCGAGTCTTCCCTACACCTTCTCCTTCCTTTCCCCTTCACCCTATCATGATACACAAATTCTTTCAGATATCCTGCTCGAATCAGCATCTCGATCTCATCTATCAAATGTCTGCAATTCTCCGAGGTGTAACCATAATCTCGGTGAAAGTGGCAGTAAATATCCGACCTAGGTCAAATTGGGCCTGTAAACCTCGTCTTCGGCCAAGTCACATCCTCACTCGACATCTTCTGCTCCATAGCCTCGAGAACCTCCGTCATGTCTTTTCTCAAGGGCGTAAAAGTGTGGTATCTCTGTCTCTCAAACAACATCGGCCTCCTCTGCCACTCATCCCTCTTCTCCCTTTTCGAATCTCGACTCTCTCTTCGGGGTGATGCCCTTTTCTGCCCACTCCGCTTGGGCGAATTCCTCCTCGGCGATCTCCCCCTCTGCGGACTTTTCTCCTTTTTTGGCTCTGGTCGAGCCACTCCCTCCAACTTGGCGAACTCCATCTCCATTTCCTCCAAGTTAATATACTTCATGCACCGCTTCATCACATCTTCATATGATCGAGCAGGGGTTTTTGCTAGGGAAGTTCGACAAGGCCCTGCTCGAAGACTCCTTATCAATCCACCCGCCTTCACTTCGTCCGAAGCCAAGTGCACCTCTAAGCATGTTTGGTTATATCGAGCAACATACTTCCTTAATGATTCCTTCTCCCCCTGCCTCATCGCCATCAAAGTCAAATACGTTTTCTCCTGCACCACCGCGCTCGAATATTGATTGATAAGCTTGCCAGTAAAGTCCTCAAAGCTCGCGATCGACCCAGGTGGAAGTTGATGAAACTAATCGAGTGCTCCTCCATGCAAAGTCGATAAGAATGCCCTGCAACAAACAGTATCAGAGTACCCATGCAACACAGCCATATTTTCAAAGGTCCTCACATGCCTCGATGGGTCAGATGACCCGTCATACACCAAGTGGGTCTCCTTGAAATTGTTTGGCAGCGGAGCAGCGAGAATATCCCTTGAAAAGGGATGTCCTCGAGCTCTCCTCTCTGGCCTCCCCTCCACTTTATCTTGCAGTTGGCGCAACTGCTCCGCCATCCTCTCCATTGCCCGATCTCTTCCCGCTCCTCCTTCTCCATAACTGGACACATCCTCATCCTGGCTTCCGGCCACCGTGGTCGGCACAGTGGTGGCATGAGAAGTATGACTCGCAACTTGCTGCACCGCCTGCGCCGCCGCGGCCGCCGCTATCCTTTGCATCTCCTGTGACACCCCTCCTTATCGTAAAATCAGAGTGCGAAAAAAAATCGCAAAGTTGTTTTAAAAATAAATCCTTTTACTTTGCGAAAACTGATTCAGGGTGCTACCTTAAAAACGTGACTTAATTTGGAAAACTGTTATTTTAATTTTTAAGAAAATTATCCGGTTACTGAAAGCAATAAGTTTTCCCAAAAGTTCGTCCAAAATATAAGTACATCAAAAGTCATCAAAACATCATCAGCGAAAGCGTAAATCATCAATATACATATACAGTCAAAAACATAAATGTCCTGAAGCCTCCGTCAGCTCATGCTCCCGGCCCGACGTCCTGACCTGAAAAACATGATAAAAGTGGGAAATGAGCACTATGGCACTGTGCTCCGTGGAAACTCATACTAATGTAAACATTGAAAATAATAACAACATCATGATATCAGTATATACATAACCTCAACCTCAAGCCGGTAATAACATGAACATGAATCTGAAATCGTCACGCAAACGTGACCCTGACCGTTACCTCATCTGCCGGCAAAAACTAATGTCGGACACCATGTGCACACTCTAGTGGGCAGACTAAGGCCACTAGAACCCAGAATGGACCGGCGACCATTTCGAGCGGATACCTCAACTGAAATACATACCTCAAACATGGTATCGTAATTATAATCAATGTAGTACTTAGTCTGAGTCCCCACCTGAACTACTGAATTGAACGGTAGTGCTGATGCCTGATCAAACTGAAAGTAATATAAACAATTACTAATGACTATGCTCAGACTGTTAACTTAACTGATTAATTTCGTTAAGATGCTCTACTTATCCTGACATGATACTTAGACTTAACCGGAATAACTGGAACTGACTTAACATGAACTGATCGGACATGAATTTTCTGAACTGAAATAATCCCATAAATTTAACTGAAACTCTTATTAAAATCATGAACAAGGCTGAAACATTAACCGTAAGAACCGAACCGTTTAAAAATTAGGGCTGAACCGGTCCAGCCGGTCCAAACCAGTATGGACCGGACTGCGGGTCGTCTGGACCGGCAGTCGGCTCG